CTATAAGGACCATAGCCGTCAACTGCGTAAGAGATAAAGCCCGAGAACGGAGCTATTAAGCCATATACATCCCGAGGGCCGTAGGCCCGAGGGATGTATATGGATTAATACCGACGTTCAAGGGGTTTATCTAACTTATTTCATGATATTATTCATGAGGTATAGGTTACATGAAGGTCGTCTTTCACAGGGCAATAATTGGCCACTTGTTTTTGTCATCTGTTTGTTTGTCATTTTTTGATCCGACCTCAGACAATGGCGTATTTCATTGTAAGTATTGTAAAGGTTTTTACACAGCATCGAGAAAGGGCGTTTCACGGGTCATAATTTGTTCAAACCACTTGTTTTCACTTAGGTGAGAAACGGAGAACAATAGCGCATTGTTTGTTTGCTAAGCCGACAACAATCAAATTTCAAACCTTTTGTATTTCTTTATTTTTGTCTTGGTATTTTTTGGGGGGCCAGTACACTTGTGAGAGCGGCAATGGATAGTGACGACGAAATTTTCCTAACGCAAAATACTTTCTCTCAGGAGCCTTTTTCCCCTGAGTTGAATTTGGAAGAGTTAGTGGGAGACTTTAGAGAAGTAAGCGAACGAGATAGTGTTGAAGTCGAAAAGAAAGAAAATCCTGGGCGTAATATCGTTGTTGTTTGTGATAACGAAGTCGAGAAGAGAAGAGAGTCCAGAATACCGGCAAACACGAAAGTTAATACTTCATGGGCGGTACGTTGCTGGGAGGAATGGGCCGTCGAACGCAATGTAAAAGTTAAAAAGAATAGCAGCAAAGAGAAATACTACGAAGTCAATCCTGACATTAAGAAAGTCGCTAATGAGCAGCTTGACTACCGGCTTGGAAAGTTTGTTTTGGAAATTCGGAAGAAGAAAGAACCTGGAAGCGTGTAAGTGACGACGAAATTTTCCAAAGACTTGAGTGAACTAGAGTGAACACATAGCCTGCATGATATATGGGATACTACTGTATTTTCTATAGTTGCAGAATAAATTTCTATATTTGTGTTAAAGGGAGAAATTTTCTCAGAATGTTTGGCGGGGTCAAAGGACGTGTATGATTTACTTAAATTGCTCATTATAAATGGAAGGGATTTATTTGTATATTGTCCAGGGCAGCAGGGCAATATACAGATAAATACCGGCTATTTATATAGATATTGCCTTGCCTTTATAATTAGCAATTAATTCAATTCATCAGCCCCGCTCTTCCCTGCTACATTATCAAGCCCTCCTCGGACTTTCAGTTAGTTAAATATTCATGAAGTATGTAAGTTAAATAAAGGATGTTGAATAACAAAAGAAAATGTGTGATTCCTGAAATAATGCTGGTCTATAGCCCTGAAGATATGACCAGTAACCAAAAGGCTCAGAGTTTCCGTAGAATGGTTCTCGCGGTTCCCGCTCTGATGTTGAGTGAGTTTGTCTTGCTTTGTCAGGAAGTCATTAAATTGAATCAAGGCAATCTTCTCAGGCACTTTAGAAAGGACAGGAAGCAACGAGATCGACCGGTTGTTATCGGGGACCTCATGATCACCGTCTTTTAGATGGGGTACAATCTAACCCTAACCCTAACCCTAATCAAACGAGGAGTTCATTAGTCTAGTTAAAGTCGGAAGTATGTAAGGGAGGCAGTCCTTGATGACAAACAGTGGAATTCTATCATAGCCAGGGGGCCTTGTTGGACAGTATAACAGTTAAAACCTCTCGGACATCAGAACAGGACGCAGGTTTAAAGTCGAATAAGCCTTCACCAGACTTCGGTGAATTATTGCTACAAGAGGGGAGGTAATCAGTGAGCTCAAGCGACCGGGTCAGTTCAGCGGAATTACCAGCTGCATTTACTAAAATAAAAAACTGGTTGAATTCATTAGCGAGAATACTGGGATCCTTGGTGTAATGCGTGGTGCAACTCGATTTCTTAGGTACTGCTCGCCGAATAGTTTTCCAAATTGCCCCGGTACAGACCAGCGAAATACCAATAGTTAAACACGAAATATGTGTGTATACAGTTTGGTCATTCGCGTCCTCTTCTTTTGGTCAGCCGGGCAACTCTAGCTGGGATCATAATGACATTCACCTTAATAACACCCACCATAACCATGGTTTCCAAATTCTCCTGGGGATAACAGTCTTCTTAAGAGAAATCGAAAACGATGGTTATACAAAATTCTGGGGGTAAGCAAGGTGCATTATGGTATATGTGAAATGGTGAATGAGATCATTTTATTATTATTATTATTATTATTATTATTATTATTATTATTGTTTCCTTGCAATAGCCCACGTTCGATATATCAAAATTTAAACGTGACTCCGGGGAGTTTTGCGAACAAAATCGCTTTGTTTTTCTCGATCTCATCGTCTCGCAATTCTCAGAAGAGGCTTGAGCACAAAGAAAATCAAACCAAATATAGAAAAAAGACCAGAAATACTTGAATTTTAATGTGTCGAAAGTGGGCTATCAAAAAAATAGGGGTTTGACGGGAAATAGGCAGAACACGAGATCCGACCAATCAGAGTGTCATTTGGATACCCGTCGCCTGAGAGGTCTGTTTAAGAAATGTAAGAACTGAAATCTTGGTTATTTTTGAGACTATTTAGTATTTTCTAACAGAGAAAATGAATTAAATATTTACAAGGATAATTAATAACAAAACCCAAAGTTTAAAGAAGTGAAACAATTCAATCAAAGTCTCAGCGCCAAGGTGTTTATTATTAAATCATTGTCTCTTATTGATCAATAACAACAAGTGACCTACTGACTTTAATTCTTGGCCATATAACTAACTCCAAGTATATAAACGAGCACAGCTGCATTACGGTCATTTACCAGTGGGCGTGGGGTCTGAGGTCCAGTGTAAGCCAAAGGTATTTCTGAAAGGCCTAAACTAATAATGAGACGACCATTTTTAGGTCCTTGGTAGCAATTTACTTAAGACAGGGTCAAGAATCAATTAGACATGAGGACCCGCATACGACTTTTTTTTGTACACCACAGGACGCTAGGGTTGTTAAGGAAGCTAGGGTTTGAGTGACAAGCAATAAACTTCCTACCGCGAAAAGCAATTAGTTTCTTTACCGTTTGGTCCAATCATCAGTGGTATTATTCGATAAAGCGTCACTTTTTTAAACAAGATTAAGGCGACATCTGGCGATAGAGTAATTCAGAAGAGATTACAATTTAACATAAGCCAGAGATTTGCGTTCTTAGCTCACGAGTTATCCAGAATAATCGCGCGTGGCCTACGACTCAAGCGTTGTCTTTCTGGTCTTTTCCAGTATTCAGTAAAATGTAGCGTAGTTCCATATTGTATTGAATGTACGTATTGAAGGTCGCAGAACTCAAATAGAATCGGGCGAATGTTGCTAGATAAAAGCGTTGATTCAAAATCTTTATTATGTAAAACCCGCACTCCTTGAACACACAGCATACTACTCATCGTAAAGGAAAGATGGATGCCAAAGCAGATTGCAATCATTGATCTCCGAGGCTTTGTGTGTGAAGATATAACGAATTTCTTTGGCGTGAGCTTGCTAAACTGCAGTTTCCGCCGTGAATCGCGTGTCACGAACGCGCTGGTGCGTTGTGTTCGTATTTTTATGGCATCTCTCTGATGGAATCTTGTACATTCAACGCACTATAGTTAAAAATTTAACCCAAACAATGGAAATAATAATTGACTTTTTCTTTATATGGAAGTAGTGTGACATTATGATTTGACCTCTGATCGAATACATGTAAAGCCGGCATTGTACTTCTGCGATGAACGTAAAGGACGGTGTGAACGTCTTTCGATTTATGACATTACGAGAAGAAGACGGTCTTCCTATGCCTTCAAAATGTTCCTGAGCCTAACGATATTACGACAAACGTGTAAGTGGTAATATTCATCGGCAGTCTGGTAGGCATTTTGATGTTGAAAACGTTAGATCTTCTAATCCGACTGCATTTGTTTGGTGACTATTATGCATGATCTGCTGCTAATGATGTAAAGCGTGTGCAAACGGGCTACATAAAAAATTTCGGTTATTTAATGACGACGGGTTGCGGAATACTATTGTTAGTAGATGAAGATGTCATAGTAGAGGCAGAAAACACAGAGACCAAGCGATCCAATGGATTCGGTCGAATAGTGAAATCGTCATCCCGCCAAAACGTGTCCAAAGCCCGCCAAAAATTACCAAATCTCGCCTCTTCCGCTATTTAACTCTTTATTCATTCAAGAAAAAGCTATGTATTGCAGGATTTTAGAAAATTAGGTATGGGAGTGGAAATCATTGTTAATATGTTTCAAGGGTGACTATTTTTTAAAAAAAAGACTAGGCGTGCGGCGAGTTTTATTGTAATGCCATGGTGTTCTTAACTCCTAAGTGCGATTTTTAAAGCAACAGAAACACTAGGTGGCACGCCCGTGATTCTGTGAGTTTAGACACCACGGCATTATGAAATCACTTGTGCACGAAGTGGAAATTTAAAGTTTAATATGTTTAAGCTTGAGTAAGCGAGTTTTATTGTAATGCCATGGTGTTCTAAACTCCTAAGTGCGATTTTTAAAGCAACAGAAACACTAGGTGGCTCGCCCGTGATTCTGTGAGCTTAGACACCACGGCATTATGAAATCACTCGCGCTCCAAGTGGAAATTTAAAGGTTAATACGATTTAGCTTGAGTAAGCGAGTTTTATTGTAATGCCATGGTGTTCCAAACTCCTAAGTGCGATTTTTAAAGCAACAGAAACACTAGGTGGCTCGCCCTTGATTCTGTGAGTTTAGACACCTCGGCATTATGAAATCACTTGCGTACCAAGCGGAAATTTAAAGGTTAATATGTTTTAGCTTGAGTAAGCGAGTTTTATTGTAATGCCATGGTGTTCTAAACTCCTAAGTGCGGTTTTTAAAGCAACAGAAACACTAGGTGGCGCGCCCGTGATTCTGTGAGTTAGACACCAAGGTATTATGAAATCACTTGCGCAATAACTGGAAAATTAAGGGGTTTACAAGCTACAAAAGCTATATGTGTGTCTTAGAGTGTTTTTTAATAGGAGATTTTGTTGTAGGAGACCCTCCGCCAGTTATATTTTTCGGCATTTATTCGTAAAAGATTTGTTTTCTCGTTACAAATAAAACACGCGTGGCAAAATTCCCATTTCCGGCACTTTTAGTACGTCCTAGAAACTGGAAAGCACAGTACGTAATCGTTTATTCGGAAGAAGGCTTTTCTTCTTCTTTTTGATATTTATTTAGAACAACACTGTTGCGATCCGTTCGCGGAGAATCTCTGCTAATGCGGTTACATTTCGAAAACAATATTTTTGTGGTCTCGCGTTCTCCTCGCGCGCGTCCTTTTGCTTTTAATCACCTGGAAACTTTGGTTTTACTTGGTAGTTACAAAGAAACGTTTCGGCGCGGCCCGCACGATGTAAATAAATTTAAGTAAAGTGGCCGGGTGCTCTAAAGTTGCTCTCTTTGAAAATTTTTAAAATAGAATCGAAGATGTATTCACGGAGGTTCCGGTTATCGTTTGGGGACAAAAGCATATTTTGATTGTGTTAATTGCTCCTGTCGGAATGAAATGTCATATGAATTAGCAAGATGACGTGCGAGTAATAAGTTCCAGGGGTTTCTCATGGTTTCCGACCTTCGGTCCTGCACTATGTTGTCAACACTTCCTTTGTTTTATATTGCGCAATCGGTCAATTCAGATGACCGTCGTACACGTATCCAAGGCTTGCGGGTCATCATGTTGTGTAAAACATGTTTATTATCTGTCTGGATTTTCTTAAATTTTAGCCTGTACACAGACGTTGTTTTATTTTTCTTTTCGGCGAGCGCACTAGGGCGAGCGCGGAGAGCGAGAAAGAAAAATAAAGAATTATTTTCTTCTTCCCCCACCCCTACCGCCTTGCGCTGGCGGTCAATAAATCTACCGCGGGTTTTATTTTTTATCACGCGCTCGACGGACTTAGAAGAGAAAATGGAGGGTCTGAGAACGGACTAGACTTTGGACTGGACTGGACTTTTTTTTAGGGGGGGTAGTTTTTTTTGAGGGAGGGTGGGGTTTGTATTATTTTTCTAGTCTGTAAAAAAATTGCGTTTTCAGCCTTTCCCCAACAGGCTATATTTTTTATTGGGGGGGGGGTAGTATTGTAAAGACTTTACTCTTCTTTGTTTTTTGTTGGTTTTGTTTTATGTCTGTCATTTTTAGTCTCGGTGGGGGGCTTAGATTGGTCGCTCTGTTTGACTCACGGCCGTCACGTTTCACTTGAAAGTTGAAGAAAATAGCAGAATTGGATGTTAGGTATTAACAAAAACATGACCTGTTTCTTGTAGCCTATCTTTTTGTCGAGGGTCGAGGGTAACATTTTTTTCTTAAAAGCAAAGAACCTTTTCCCTCCCTGTTAAGGTAGACAGGTCGTGCCTAAAAAATATCATAGAACTTAGGCTTATAGTTCAGTCACGTCTGCCTCTTCTCTGCGGCATTGCATGGCTGTTCAGTGGGGTAGTTTGAATATGTATATTTCACCGATTCTTGTTTTTTAAGCTATCACACTGACCGAATTGTCCTGCTTTCAATGAAATAGATACGCGCCAAAGAAATTTTCAACAGAAGTGCCTTAGGCTGATGGGTTCAAAGTAGCTTTTACGGCTTTGTTACCTGCCGTAGATTTCAGGAGTACCTTCCATTGTCTCAGTTTTCTTTTCAGTTAACCGCTGGTGTCGAATTGAGATGAGGTGGGGCCCGATGAGGCGTGAAGCAATCTGATATCTCCCTCCCAACAATGAATGGTCTGGTTGTTTTGCAGGCATACGTGGTATTGCATGTGACCAAAAGCGAGAAAAACACATCTGACATTCGCTGTGCGTTATTGCTAGCACAGCTACTAATGTTGCACTGGACTCCGAAGAATGAAATCATTTTTTTAATAAATTCCCACTCCGTTTAACAACAACCAGTCCAGTCCAGAGTCCAGTCCTGGTTTTCCAATTGGCCTCTGTGTATCAAAGTCGAATGGAAAGAAGTTAAGAGTCACTAGCTGAGGCTCAACAATGGCAATAGCCATGTTTTAGCAAATCCAGTCAGATATATATATATACCTGGATTTTTGGAAAACCGGGTTAGCAAAAATATCAACTCATTCTACTACTTGGCAATTTAGAACAACAAACCTCATTCAAAGGCCGATTCAAATATGACACCAGGCAGTACGTTAATGGTCCCTAGAAGCATTCCAACGAGTCCAAATTTAAAATGACGCAAATTTTAGAACATTTATTCTATGGCGTTCCATTTCCGCCAAAATTCAATGTTCCATTTTTCATTATACTTTGCATAATCTATCCTACATTTTGTGTTTTTCATTTGAGTTTGCACTCGCGATTCAATTTTTTTGCATCCAACGTTCAACTTTGGTTTATGCAACATTCAAGTTTCCGCTTTCGACATTCAACTTTTCATAAGCAGTAGTCAAGTTTGCGAATTCGACCTTC